TTATGGGCTGTAGTGTTTCATTTTAAGGCCAGGAGAAGAGCTTGCTCTAAAGTGAATAAAATTTCAGACAAGAAATATTTCTGTTTTAGTTTTACTTTATCCCAAGACTCTAATTATTGGCAAGGTTTAATAGTAGGTACAGATAATTTTAGCAATATATTAAAATTTTTGACAATATTAGACAATGATATTTCTAATGCCACATACATGAAATATCGATGCCACATACATGAAAATCCTGAGGGGGAGAAACAGTCATAGAAAAAGCAAGGAGACACAGAGTTTTAAAATTAAATAACACTTTGAAGTAGTAACACTTTGAAGTAACAATATATTTAATTTTGTTCCTTTTTTTCCTCCTATCTTCTTTCTCCTCCTTATTTATTTCATCTTTCCATCTGTCAATATATTCAGTCATAAACTTTTTATGGTGTGCAGCAAATTGAACACATTTACATGAGGCCTTGAATTTGTTCTAATGTGTACTTACTGCCTTTTGAAAGGTTGTTGCCTTTGCTATTACGGTACCTAAAACTCACTCCAAAATAGCAGACTGCTTTGATGGATCTGACAATTCTCGCAGTCCTCTCTGCATTTTATAAAGTATTAAAAAGCCACAAACACAACCCAAGTCACTCAATGGATCAGATGAGAGTACATTATCATTGATACTATTGATTTTCTGTGTTTCATTTCTATTTAAAATGTGTCTTAAGCAGAGTGCAAAAAAGTCTTCATTTTGGAGGCTCTTAAAATATATTTCTATATTTCCTTTTTTGGCTTGGAGATTCCATTTCATGACATCGTATTGCCCTTTATCATGAATTCCTCTTATTTTAATACACAATGTAAGGCTAAAAGAAAAAAGATCAAAGATTTGAATTCTTCTGTGTGTGATACTGTGTGTGAGAGAGATACTTGTTTGGTTTTCATTCACTTTTGGATATCAATGAAAGAGCATAAGATATTTATACAAATGTAACAAGAGTTCAGGCTTTAGGACTAGATTCCTTCTGATTTTTTTTCTTAATATTTCCCTTACTCCTAATGGAATCTGATGAACTTAATAAGAAGTATGTACCTAAAGCAGGTCCAGAGGGATTTTTGGTCCCACTTCTGTCTGCAATTTAAGAAAACAATCAGTCAAGCCACTGGGTGACATCTTAGTTTATTGTCTTTTCTGAAAGAGTGAAATCAGTTTATTTGAGCAGTCTTCCCTTGAGGTGAATGAACTAAATTTCAATTATGGGAATTACTAAACACTTGCTTACAGTTTTCAAATTTCAGTGTTGCATTTGAGGTGTTCCTCATTTTTAACACAGAAGATCCTCTGATTTCTGCCCGCAGATCCCCATAAATATGCAAAACCCATACCATTTGATAAAGCAATGATATTAAACACGAAATCAAATAGTGAACAAATTTAAAACCAAAGCACATGAGTGGAGCGCTTACTTCACCTTCAGATTTAACAACCTTTAATAAGCCATCACAATGCCTGTTAGTGTATGGTCACCTAAAGCCTATAGAAGGGAGATGCTTGAGCGGTGTGGGAAATTATGGAATCATTGTAGTAGCAAAAAAACTGCTTAAATAATAAGGAGGTATAAAAATGCATTCTCCAAAACTATTTTGATGATCATTCTGAAGCATTTTGAATTGTCACCGGCATGTGACACAAGGAAATCCTTGTAATATTTTGGAATAGAAATTGCCGAATATTTCCTTAAATAGTTTGCTCTGGTTACAACACATCAAGTCATATGACATTCATAGATCTCTAAATATTTATTTGGTCTACTAGTTAGTATTGAGAATTCATGAAGATTTTTTATTTTATTAAAATCATCATCCAAATATATCATAAAATAATTATTTGACTACTAACAAACTAGACCTCATATAAATTGCATTAGATATGACTACGGTGTCTTCATATCTAAAACAGAAATTTAAAGGAACATTTTAAAAGAGAGATAATATAACTCAATCCTTACTGGAAGTAGGAGTAAGTAATAATTGTGAGACTAAATATTTATGCCTAAATAAAGGAAGTGAGGTTTACTATGCTCAAAGTGCAAATCTGGTTATGATTTTATATTCCAAATATTGGCCACCCACTCCTGCAAGTCAAAGATAATTTTAGTTCTGACAAGGACTCTTATTGAATAAAACATGTCCTTTGCTCTCATCGTCCTTCCTGGGAAGGTCCACCTCTTGCCTGCTGCCTCCTTAACAGGTTCTGGTCCTCTGGCCTACTTGGGAAGTGGCAGCCTGGGGTCAGTTCATAAGTGCCTTGTCCTCCTTTACCCCCTCCTGCACGCACAGAAAAAGTGAGGCTTAAACTTGCTGTGTTGCATATAAAGGACTATAAAACCCAGAAATAGAATCAGATGCTGGTTGGATGGATGGATGGATAGATAGATGGATGCATGGATGGAGGGAGAAAGAGAGGACAAAATGAAAGGAGAGAGACAAGGATGGACGGAAGGAGAGAGAAAGAAGGAGGGATAGAGAGAAGGAGAGAGGAAGGGAGAGAGCGAGGGAGTGAATAACACGTGGGATTTGAAGAAACATTCAAGGCTTCCCTTTTGACTCAAGTGGATATTTTTGCCACATTTTCCCCAATGCCACATTTTAAATTAATCCTATTTTCTTATGAAAGCAATGTGTCATACTCTTGTAAAAATAAGAGAAAAGCCAAGTTCCCAAGATGCAATAATATAAGCATACTGAAGAATGAGGCCAAACTTTTAAAAGCAACAAATGTTAAGGGCGAAAACATAGTTTATATGGTGTCATGAATCTGACAGTATAATTTTCCTCAATCTGCCTCATATAAAATATGATAATATCATGGCTTAGCATTAATTGCTTATTACAAGTCAAGTACTCTCCTACGAACTTTATATGTATTAAATGTTGAATTCTCACAGCAACCCTATTGGGTAATTACTGCTATTGACCACATTATGGAGATAAGGTAGCTGAAGACCAGATGGATGAAGTCATTTACTGTAGCCTCATTTGATTTTTATTGGGGATGTGGTTGTTCCAATAGCTGCAACCTGTTTTCAGCAGCCTTTAATTTTCCTTCTTTTTTCTTCCTCTCTTTTCTTCCTCCTCTTCCACCAAACCTGGATGGAAGCGTCTGTGATGGCAGACACTGACCTAAGACCTAGTTCCAAAGACGTGACCTCTTGGAGGCACAATGATAATTCTTTAGCCACCTTTTATATTAATTTTCCTTACTTGAAATTACTAGAGTTCTTTTCAGAATTCTTTGCTGGAACTCACGACAGGAAATAAGAGAAAATAGCAGTGCATATATCTCAGTGTTAATTAGGGAGGCATTGGTCAGAGGTTCACAGTTCAGACTCTGAGGCCAGACTGCTTGTATTTGAGTCTAGTTCTACCTTAATAGATTTGCAACCTTTGCATATTTCTTAATTTTCCTATGCCTCAGTTTCCTCATCTATAAAATGGGAATAATAATCTCTATCTCTTAGGGTTGTTGATATGATACTTGCAAAGCAATGCAAATATGTCAGTATACGTAAGATCTGTGCATTTCACTGTATGCAAATTTTGCCCATAAAGAACCAAAAACAAGTATTACACTCTAGTTAATGCGTAAGCTGAAAAAAAACCAAATACGTCTGATGCATTATAAATGAATTTTTATGTAATGAATGCCTCTTAAAATTTGATATTCCTCCACTAATGAATTTCTATGTAAAGAGATCTTTAGAATTTTGAGCTTTATTGGATTTGGAGAAACATTACTGAACACCAACAATGAGGCTCAAGCAAAGAGTAAACAACAGCAACAAAAATGTAAAGGATGAATAGGAAGTGTTAGAAGGTCATGTTTCTCCACTTCATCTGGAATTTGTTAGTTCGTATGGACCACACATTCTGACAGACAGCCATGTTTGTTTTTTATTAAGAAAATTTTTAAATAAAAGAAATAAATCAATGCTTACTAAATGAGGTTTAACAGACGAAGAAATGCTTAAAACATAGAGGCAAAGTGTAAAAATAACAAAGAGGTAAATTGGTAATGAAAGATTTGGGAACCACTGTTCTGGAACTTCTGTGAATCCTGAAGAATTATCTAATGATTCAGAAACACCAATCATATCATGCGCTAGGATACAGTTACCTGCTGCACATAATTTAGGAAGATCTCTAAACATCTGAGGAATCATCAAACATTATACAATTTTAGAACAAGAGAAGACTTTAGAGGTTAGTTGTATGTGGTTGATTGACTTTGGTTTGAATAGCTATTACTTTAGAAATTTAATTCCTCCCTTTCCTAACTCTGAAAATGTGTATTATAGCAGAAAGTATCTCAGTAAAAGTTAGAGGAAATGATATTGGTCTCCGGTATAGTGGAATATTTTCATGTGTTGTGGTGTTCCCTTTAGATGGTGATAAAACTATTTAAGGGTCATTTAGCATCCATCTGTTACACTTTTAAAGAACATTTCTGTTTAAAACAGATTTTTTGAAAATTATGCTCTGAGTTCATGCGCAGACTTTCTGAAAATGCCTGTGTAGTTCACCAAAAGATGTCTGATATTCTTCGATTTAAAATTCCCAAAAGAAAATGAGAGAAGAGCTTTCAAAAAGCAATCAGTTTTACTGTAGGTATCTTTGTTGGATTAATGAGAAAAATCAAATTCACAATTTATTAAACAGTTAGAGTTTGAGGTTGTTCACAGTACTTTTAAAATAAAGGCTGTTGATTCTGTTTATCGAAGTAGAAATTAAAACACAGTTATGAGTGTATTTTTACTCATTAATACATAGGATTTTTTCATTGCCCATATGAAGAGCACCTTGCCTCTAAAATTGGTGTTATGAAAAAGAAAAGTTGTACAGGAAGTAAAGATCCAATATTACTTTATTAAAAACATAAATACCTCCCCAGAAGAAAATGCAAACTTAAGGGTGCACACATGAAGGTCCTGACAGCTGGGCTGTTCTTTCAGCGTCTACAGATGACAGTGCAGCCGAGAAGAAAGGGGGAACCCTCCACGCTGGCCTCATCGTTGGGATTCTCATCCTGGTCCTCATTATAGCCGCAGCCATCCTTGTGACAGTCTATATGTATCACCACCCAACGTCGGCAGCCAGCATCTTCTTCATTGAGGTAAGTGTCAAGCCAGGGCAGTTGATGAACGGTATCCATTTGTTAGCACCACCTGTGTTTAATATTTAGCACATGATTTCTCCATTTTTCAGTTTCAGGATGGCTGATTTCACACTCACGCATGTGCTCACACATGCACACACGTGCATATTGATAGATTGCTTTCATATGATGGGTTCAGTTACCTTATCTCGGGAGCTTTTAAAGAAATAAACTATCTTGCCTTTTATAGATCTAAAGGAAAATAGGAACCATACTTTTTTGTCCTTTTATACTTAGCATGTTAACCAGCTGTTCTCCTGATCCTAGGAGGAAATGCAGCATATGCAGGAGGCTAAAGACTTAGCTTAAATCAATTGCTCAGCAAACACCAGTTGAGCATTGGCTGTATGCATAATGCAATATGGTGGGCCTGCTCTCAAAATGCTCGTGATTTAGAAAAAATATGGCCATCACTACAAAATGACAGGTGTAAAAATAAGATAATGGCACTGTGCTATTACTATTTTGCATAAAGTGTGTATATTTGTACATTTATATATAAATGCATATGCCCGTGTGCGCACACACGCACAGAGTACTGTGCTGAATCACTGCTGTTGCGTTTTCATGTTACAGAATGTAGATTTAGTGCCTGTGCCCAGGAGCAAACAGGTGGGAGGACAAAGGGCTTTGTATAAGGAGCCAGAGCCAAGTCCTAGGGTCTAGAAGACAGAACAAGGAAGCATGGAGACCAGTGGTTCTAGTCAGTGTGACCAAGTCATCCTCTCTCCCCTAGAAGGTTGGATTTCCTGGGCCCCCTGCTTGTGCAGCTTTCACTGTGACATCTTAATGGGGCCACTCCTCTTCCAGCACCAAATTATACTAGAAATACTAGTGTACTAAAGGAAATCTCCTGTGGAGTTGCAAACATGTAAGAGTTTAATTCTAACTCACTGTGCGATGCACAGATAGGTGGCTTGGAATTTCGTTCACTTGCTGAGTGTGAAGTTATAATGCTTTTTAAACTACAGAGATAAAATGACCTTTGCCCCCTATAATTGAGAGGGGTGAATGCAAATCAATTAAATAATTGCTTAAAAGCCCTATATGGCTCACCAGTGTCTATAGAACAAAGTGCAGTCTCCTCTTTCCGTGGGCGCTCAAGTCTTTGGCAGTCTGGATCTTACCTGTGTCTCCCCAATCTGGAGTTGGCACTATTGTCAAATTTCACTCTCTACTCTTCTCCGTTACGAACCCACAATTCTCCAGGCCACGAAGACATTGTTCATTCTATTTCCTCCACCAAGAATGTCCTCCCCTCCCACCTCGGTTCTTGAATTCAGGAGGCAAACAGCCCTCATAACCTTCCTTACCCCATCTCCCTGTCTGGGCAGCTGAAAGAAATCTCTCTTTCTTCTCTGAAACTCTATCTGTAGTAATACACGCATACCTTTCTCTGGAATTTACTTCTCTGTTTTGCATTGTAGTTAAATACGCACACAATTCATTCCACCCTACAAGACTTGTAAATTCCTTAAGACCTGGATTAAACACCTTAAATTTCTTTCAGAAAAAATAGGTATTCTACCAACATTTCCCAGAAAAAAGAATACATAGTAAATAACCTATGACATTTCAAAACTCCAGTGAAATTTCATACCAGACATATTCCAGAAATGGCATCTTAATTTATATCCTAATAATTGGGAAATTGCCAGGCATTGCATTCAGTTAGAAAACTTTTGTTGAGTTTTGTTAATGTGCTTGATTTTCTTGGAAGAAAGACAACCTTCCCGAAGTTACGAATGCCTTCCTCAAAGAGCTGACGAGTGACAAGCTGAAAGCCTCAGGGACCAACCAGACATTAGGCCGCTGCTGCAGCCGTAACCCGCACGTTTAAGCGTTTTTATACACTGTGCAGTTCATTTTCTGACATGGCAAAAAACAAAATACTGTGAAATATCTGATAGTGATGGTATTAGCATCAAATTGCACAGTTGGAAGGATCTAGAAAAGCTAGTTGCCAGCAACCCCTGTATGACTACAAAGCAAGACTGCAAAAGAGTGGGATTGTTTGTATAGAATATTAGAGCTAGAAGGAATCTTAGAGGCAATTTAGTCCTATCCCCTCATAACACAAAGGGAGAGAGGGGCTCAGAGGGATGGAACAACTTATCCAAGGTCAAAGAGCCATAGATCTAGGAATAACTCTTTCATCTTTTCAAACTTACGTGAAGCAGAAGCATTCAGCAGCTCCCCATCCCCCAGCTCTCTCCTCTCTGCCTTTTTCCTTCCCTTTGAGTCCATTCCCAGTGTCTGCTTAAATCACTACCTGTCTGACCCCCTGCCATGGTCACGCGGCTCCCAGCGGCTGGTCGGCAGATGATTTTGGAAAGTAAAATCATAACTTTACCATTACTAAGGCTGACCAATGCTTACAAACTCAAACCACAGATCTGTGATGACCACACAGTGTGCGACATGCCAGACATCTGTATTGGAAGATTTTGAATTATTAATTAAATTAAAATTGTTGGTGCATGAACGAAGGGATTGAATGTAACAATATTGTTTCCATTGCTTTTTTATGTTTCATGTTATACTCCTGTCTACTTTAAAAATGAAATTCATGTGCTTTTTTCCATTATGAAAATGGCATCATTCATTATAGAAAAAATTGAGACAATGCAGAGATGTAAAAGGAAGGAAAAGGAGAGTCATTAATAGTCCCGGCATGCGGAAACAATCACCATTGGTATTTTAATTTATTTTCTGCTGGAATTCTTATATGCACAATTTGATGTTTGCCCATTTAAGACAATTGCAATTTCACTGTAATGCAAATTGATATTCTTTTTTTTAAAAAAACTAGCATTTTTCTATTTGATTATGAACTGTTCGTAGACATCATTTTAATGTTTGTATACTATTCCATTTAACATTCATGGCATAGCTTTATATCGATTTCCTCTCATGCAGTCAGGTGGTGAATCAGAAAGCACTGAGAGCCTAACATGGACCTAGAAGTCAAAAGGAACGTCATTTCACCCAAATAAAGACTTCGTGTTAGTTTTCTATTGCTACTATTACAAATTGTCACAAAACTAGTTGTTTAAAACAATACACACATCTTACAGCTCTGAAGTCTGTAAGGTCTGAAGTCCAAAACCTGTGTCACTGAGCTAAAGTCAACGTTTCAGTTGGGTGAGTTCCTTCTGGAAGCTTCAGAAGAGAATTGTTCCCTTGCCAGTATCAGCTTCTCGAGGCTGCATGCATTCCTTGGCTCATGGTCCCTTCTCCCTGCAGTCCAAACTGTTTCCATCCTCACATCTCCTGTTACTAACTTTGACCCTCCTGCCTCCTTCCTGTAAGGCCACCTGTGATTACATCAGGTCCTCCTGGCTAATCCAGGATAATCTCTCCATCTCAAGATCTTTAACTTAGTCACATCTACAAAGTTCCTTTTGCCATGTGAGGTAGCATTGGAAGGTTTCAGAGATTAGGACATGGACATCTTTGGGAGGCCATTATTCTGTTGGCCAGACTGTATCAAATGTAAGATGCATCACATGCTACCCTGTCACACACCCTTAAGCGTAAGATACGTCCCCATTTTAGTGATATTAAATATGATCCAATGAATATCTTGTATATTTCACAGTGAAATCGAATGACACTGACCTCTATTGTGAATTAGTTTCTGCACTAAACAGTGTGTATTCTGTGATGAAATTTAATGACTCTGCCCTTGAGTAGATATCCCAGAGCTCATGCAACCAATATCCTATTGTGGAACACTGGGGCTCTTCCCATTTTTTCCTATTTTAATTAGCCTCAATATGAACATATTGATAGTAACAACTAATATTTATTAAACTCTACTGGAAGTGATTTACGCTTATTACCTCTCATGAAGAGCCTATGAAGCACTGAGATTATCTCCATGTCTTATATGAGAAAGCTGAAACACAGAACTTAGTAAGCAAATACTCAACATCAGGCATTTGGTCAGTAGTGGGGTCAGGACTTGAGCCCAGGCTCTCCAACTCCAGGGACGGTACCCTTAACCACTAGGCTGTGCTGCCTCTCTACATGTAAAGGGTTTTTCTTCATATACTATATGTAGAAATGCACGATGATGTATATCCAAGGACATACATTATGTCCTTAGGACAGATTCCCAAAAGTGAAATCAAAGGAAAGAAACAATTTAAAAGAACTTAGCAAATATTGCCAAAATCATTATACAAGTTCATGTAGCTGTTGCTATTATTATCTATTTTTAGTGATGATAATGACAGTGGTTTCTATCTGTGTGTTTTGTTCTTGCAGAAAATATTCACCAGTTATTATACGTTTTGTGGACACAAACACTCTTCCTCATATAAAGTGTTTACGTGGGCTTTAGCTTGTTTGTAAGAAGGAAATGCAATAATAAAGCAAATCATCACCCCATAAACAATGTAATTAAAAATAAGTGAATTAACTGTTCATATCCTGTGTCTGCTCACACAGGATCAGGTACAAGAGTTCCATTCTCCTAAAACCTCCGATCTCTATTCAATCAAGCAGAAAACTCTATTTTTTACTAACTTATCTCCTGGAATTCTCCATCATCCCCCTCAGATCTGAGACTGAGCGTTTTCTTTGACTTTTACTGAATTGCTTGCATTTTGTGTTTATCTGTGTAGCTTTTCACGGTAAATTTCAAAAGGATATCCGACGACAGGCACACATGGGCACAAAGAGATGCAAAGGCCATTGGAAACCAAAAAGGGGAGTGACAGGGGTAAAAACTTACCTATAGGGTACAAGAAATTCTACTCTGGTGATGGGCACACTAAAGCCTCGACTTTAACATTGACATAACATTCATATAAGGTATTCATATGACAAAAACTTTTGTACCCCCTCAATGTTTAGAAATAAAAAAAGGATATCTGATTTTAACCAAAATCCATCACATTATATAAGACCTTTTAAAAGTAGAATTTATTATCTTGAAACAAAATGGTAGA